TAATTGGAGCCATCTTTCATAAAACAATCTTAGATCAATCACACATAAATTATAAGCTAGATTTAATTACAAAGTCATTAAGACATTTGACATAAATAGAAAATAAAAATCAAGTTCTGTGTAAAGATAGGAGATTTAACACACATTTCTACCTTCTTACCTTCCTGAAACCCCCAATAATACAACAAATGAAGGGATATTTTAAGGCTTAAACTCAATAAATGGAGAAAACCAGAGGTCGTTTTGGAAGCTGGAAAGCAGATGAACACACATAGTGACAGAATAAGCAGAGCTGAGAAAGTTGAATCCAATCAAGCAGTAGAGAAAACTAATCTGATTTATAGAAAATCAAAGATTTAGAAACTAATGGCAGCAGGTCCTTGAGGAAGTGAGGATAAAAAGAACATAGACTTAATAAGGACAATTGTTAGGAAGTCTGTTTTAAGATGAACTGGATCTAGACTCCTTCCCAGATCCATGCACCATCCCAGAAACTGCCCCTTCTTTAACCAGCAAAGAGTGATGGTATATTTTCAGAAGGAAGTAAAATAGATGGTCTGAACGGAAGAATATCCATGCTGTTGAGGGTGATGGAGCTGTGCTAACAACTGGGGGACAAATGAATGTACCCATATTATCTTTGGAGACCTAACATGCCAAATCCATCTTTCTCAGTTCTGAGTCCAGGACACTGAAAGCTAGACCTTCACCCTCCTGGTGGAACACTGAATGAGTCTTTTCTGGGAAATATGGCTAGTCCATGAAGAAAAATGTGACATTGGAAAAATACTGACATTGAAAGTTTCCTCATTACACAGCCCACCCTAATGTTCATATAGTCAAACTCACATCAGACCAGCCCATGTCTCACACCCTCAGAGCTTCCAGTCAGTACTTAGTATCTCACTCTTAAATGCTGTCAGATACAGACGATGTATGAGATATCTGAGGAAAGTTAACCTGGAAGACAGAAGATAAAGACAAAAAAAGCAATGCTGAAGAAATATAGATAAAACAAATGTCCTGGAGAATGTCATTCTAAGTGAAGTAAGCCAGAAAGAGAAAGAAAAATACCATATGAGATCGCTCATATGTGGAATCTAAAAAACAAACAAACAAACAAACAAAGCATAAATACAGGACAGAAACAGACTCATAGACATAGAATACAGACTTGTGGTTGCCAAGGGGGTGGGGAGTGGGAAGAGATAGACTGGGATTTCAAAATTGTAGAATAGATAAACAAGACTATACTGTATAGCACAGGGAAAGATATACAAGATCTTATGGTAGCTCACAGAGAAAGGAATGTGACAATGAATATATATATGTTCATGTATATTTGAAAAATTGTGCTCTACACTAGAATTTGACACAACATTGCAAAATGATTATAAATCAATAAAAAATGTTAAAAAAGTCAAAAACATCACAAAGAGAATGACTACAAGTAAGAAACAAGAACAGAATTCTAGCCCCAAATAAACAAACAAGTAAATAAACAGAATGTTCCAAAAACGTAAAGAAAGTCTTGGAAATGAAATACAATAGCAGAAACAAAAATCTTTGATAGAAAGATTAAAATATAAAGCTGAGAAACTTTACCAGCAAAAAGAAAAGAAGAAGGAAAATAGAAGATTAAAAAACTAAGACAATTAAAAATTGATCATGGAAAATTAGCATAAAAAGTAAAGAGAAAGAAAACAGAGAAAATGGAGGCGGGAGCTGGTTAATGATCTGAGTTTCCAAATTGAGACATTTATCAAGTGAAAACTGACTCACACTAGTACAACAGCATTATGAAATTTCAAACATTTAGGGCAAGGAGAAGATTCTGCAAGACTGTAAAGAAGAAGAAGAAAAAAAATCCAGATCATACACATAAGATCAGCAATGAATGAGAATAAAAATGCTCCCCCACACTTAAGTAAAGGTGATTGTTCTGTTGTCATGGTAACAAGTGGCCATTAAAATGGTTTTGAACTCATTTAATCAATCAAAGGCAACTCCCCTGGATGAACATGCCTTTGCAAGCCAACCAATCTGCATGAGACACTCACTTCTGACCACTGGCCCATCAGGGATGGACTCACTCCAATAAACACACCCAAGGAACTGTGATTCTGCAGATGATGGCAACCCACTAAAGCCTCTGAAAGTCCACTAATCCCTAAACTCTGTGCTTCCCATAACGTCAGACATGCTTAGCAGTCTGGTTGCTTGGAGAGACTGTGCCTGACCAGCAGAGTTCTCCCCTACTAAAACAAGCAATAAGTTCAGCTTTGTTCTTTTAATTCAGATGTTGAGTGGTGGTCTCATCAACCTCTAACATAGATTTTTAGCTTCTGAACAGGAGTATTGGAAGTTACAAAGCAGTGCAGAAAGGCTTTGAAAATTCTGAAGGAAAATAATAACTTAGAATTCTACACCCAATCAAATCATTTAAATATGAGAAGTTTTTTTTTTTAAGACATTTTCAGACATGAACGATATTAAACAATTTATTTCTCACATACCCTTTCTTGGGAAGTCATTGGAAGAAATTAAGTAAGAAGAAGATGTAGGTTACTGGAAACAGGAGATCCAATATAGAAAAAAAGCAAAAGTCAGCCCCAGGACAGTGGCGAAGTGAGTCCCAGGATGGTAGTTATACCCCAGGGCGGACCGATCCATGTTGCAGCTTGTATCAGCTATCTAGTGCTGCATAACAAATCAACCCAAAAATGCATTGGCTTAAAACAACTGTTTAGCTCACATTTTCCTGAGCGGTTCTTCTGGTTGATCTCAGCTAGGATCACTTATGTATCTGTAGTCAGTTAGCAGGTGAGCTGGGGGTGACTGGTTCCATATGGCCACACTCATATGTCTGACAGGTGATTTGATAGTTGCTGGGGCCACTGGGATGATGAGGCTATGTTTCTCTCCTTATCCGGTAGGTGAGACTTGCTCTTCACATGACAGTAGGACTCCAAGAGCCCAAAGCACAAGGACTTCTTAAACCTCTACTGTGTCAGATTTGCTAAGAGTTCATTGGCCAAAGCAAATCATGTGGTCAAGTTCAGAATCAAAGTGGAAAGTATACTAAAGTTACAGAGCAAGGGAGCATGGCTACAAGAAAGGGAACTATTATTGGCCATTTTTATCTACCACAGAGGTTATTAGAAGGTTCCAGGAAAAATGTCCTTGAGAAGATGAGATAGGTAAAATGTAACTGATGTGTCTGAACATGTTGAGGAAAGATTCAAACAACTGTCAAAGATTTTGGTGTTGAATTCATGATAAATATAAAGATAACAAATACATATAAACATAAGCAAAGGGGAAAAAAGGCCATTATTAACTCTGAGGATAACAGAACATTGTTCACTAAATAAAAACTAACCATAATTTGCAATAGATTTAGTGGTTATTGGTATTTAATTAATCATAAATCAGCCAGTTAACACTAAATATCGAACTAATGAAAATTATAATTTGACCAAATTGTGAGAAAAATGGGTGCAAAAAGTGGGTACAGGTAGTGAGGTAGGAAGGATAAACGAGAGCTGAGTCGACTCTTCCACTCCTCCTGCTGCATGCAAAAATCAAGAGATCATATCTAAAACTGGAAAATCAAGAAGCAACAATGTAAGACTATTATGTAGGAACATGGAGACAAATACCAAAGTAATCAGGTGAAAGAGGTAAAACTGGTGTCTCTGGGAAGGAAGAAATGATACATGAGGGGACGAGGACCTGCTGTCACAGAGAAATATTTGTCTTTAAAATTATGTGCATGTTGGAGAAGGATATAGCTCAAGTGGTAGAGCGCATGCTTAGCATTCATGAGATCCTGGGTTCAATCCCCAGTACCTCCTCTAAAAATAAATAAATAAACCTAATTATCTCCCCCACTGCTAAAATTAAATAATACAAGAATAAAATTATGTGCACGTTAACTTAAGTACAAATAAAAAAAGAGAAAGAAAGAAGACAGAAGAGAAAGTGTTCAGTGTCTTTAATCCAAACTGATATGCAATAATTTAATATCAAGCAACAAAAAGCAAAATGCAAAACAGTTTGTGTACTAAGCTATTACTTAAATTTTAAAAATGGAGGGAGCAGCAAAATATTAATATATGCTTGTATATATATGCACAGAATAATTCATCAGAAAGCCGTTGCTTCTACCTTCCAAACAAATCCGGATTCCAACCACATCTCACCCTTCCATTGCTCTCAACCTTAGGAAAGCCATCACCTCTTGCCTATTCTAGGTCAGCAGCCTTCTCATTGCTTGACTGGCCTTCCTGCCTCCATCCTTCAGTCTAGTCCCTGCATAGCTCCGAGCATCCAGTTTAAAAGAAAAATCAAATGACATCTTCCCTCTGTTCAAAACCCTTGAAGTTTTTGTTTCGTTTTGTCTTGTTTTTTTTCATCAGGTGGAATAAAACTGGACTCTTCACCCGGGCTCCACAGCCTAGTGTCATCTGGTTCCGATCCTGCCCTCATCTTGTTCTAGCTCGTTCTTACTGCAACTCATGGTCCCTTGGCCTAGAGTGCTTTTTCCAGTTATAGAGGCTGGCTTGTCACCCAGATCTCTGCTCAAGTGTCAGCTCCTCAGATGGACCTCTCCTAGTCCCTGCTCTGTCCTCTCCATCAACACTCACCACTTTCTTATCATTGTCTACCCTGATTTATTTTTCTTCATAGCACTTATCACCATTTGACACTTAATTATATATTAAATGTTTAGTTGTTTTTTAACTGTCTCCTCCAACAGCATGTACAGTCCCAGGAGGGAAGCCATACTTGTCTGTTTTGTTTATTGCATTTACCCCCATGTAGCCAAAACAGGGCCTGGTGCATAGTAGCTATTAGTAAATTTCTTCTGAATAAATTAATAGTGAAAAATACAGGAAACCACCTCCCAACTATTTACAGTAGCTGCTTTGGGGAAGGGAACTAGGAACTTGGGTGTCAGGGGTGAGAGAGCAAGAGAGAAGTAACTTTTCACTTACCTGGGTCCTCAGACCTTAAACTTCTCCAGCACCCAGAGTCCAGTCAGCAATCTCCCCACTGGGGTAAAGGTAACATTTCATTGGCCTAAGATAAAGAAGGCATCAGTAACACTCAATTCATACACTTTGAGTACATGCATATAATTTAGAAATTATATTCTGAATTGCACGTTCAACATATTTTTGCCGATTAAGGTATAAAATAAAAAAGTTTGGTCTGTAAGTTTGGTCACAAATGGATAGCCTGTAGGTTTTGGACATAGCAGACATGTTTGATTTGTCTCATATTGTTTTAAGTTGAATGAATCAAAATCCAGAGATTTCACATAAGATTCCAGATGTCTGGGTTTCTTGAGATACCAGAGTTGCTGGCAGTATTGGTCCTGTGACCCGCTGGAGCCAGCGGAGCGCAGCCCTGTTTAGAAGGCACATGGACCCTGTGCACTGAAGCTTTCCCTAGCAGCTTCCTGTGGGGTCTCAGGTTCAGCTCGCCTCACTCCCTGCAGGCATTTACTTTATGGTTCTTTTCTGACTCTGTTTCTCAGTCTCAGCCAAATCACTTGTACCTAAGAGCAGTGAAAGTGCTGAAATTTTCTTATAATCAACTTAAACAAAATTTAAAAAAGATTGCATTCAGAGTCATCTATCTCGACACCACACTTACTCTTTCAATCTGTTGTGTGAGAGTCACAGGGCACAGGGCAGATGTCGGCACAGCCATGATTGACAGAGTATGTCCCCGTGAATCACAGTCCCTGGCATGTGTCCTGGCTGGGAGCAGGCTGAGAACCACTGATCTGTAGTCCGCATTGTGTACTTTGATATCCAATTATATACAGTCCTTCTTTGTTAAATATGTATCTACAGCCCCACAGAAACTTCTTGTAAGAAATGCTGCGTATAGTACTTCTGAGTTCCTCAGAGGATCAAGTATTGAGAATATTTAATAAAGGCTGTTTGGTTATGCGATTAACATAAAAAAGTATGGATTCTGCCAGTGCTTATAACTTATATCACTATGGTTTGCAGAGTTAAATATATAGAGATAGAAAGAGAAGCGTACCCAAACACACATGTTTTATAAAAGCAGGAAGAATGAATGTCTCAATCATTTTTGTTTTCCCAGAGTGCCCGGGAAGGGCTTTGCTACGACAACCAGATAAACGGATGGATAAAGGAATGAAGTCTACAGTATCCACCACAGTAATAATCATAGACACTATTTAAGAAGCACTGTCTGTGGACTGGCCACTGAGCTAAGTCTTTAACATCATTTTCTCAGTTAATCCTTGCAATCATGACATATGGCCAGTTTTTTATCTTTTAATAATATAAATTAAAAAATAAGGCTTAGAAAAGTGAAATAAGTGGTCCACAGCCACACAGCTACTAAATGGCAGATCCAGGATTCAAACCTAGGTCTTCCCAAAGGCAGTGGTCTCTACTAAGCAATATCAAAAACAAACAAACAAACAAACAATTCTCTGGATGCGAAGATGAAATGTTTAAGTTTCTCCAATAAAATACTCCCATCCAATGATTTAGTTGTCATGGAAAATAAACCACAAAATCAGCATATTCTGCAGGAGCAGAAGTTGAAGATGTCTTTAGCCAAATTAATAGATGAGGAAAAACAAAGGACATTCAATGTAGAGCTCAGGGTAAGTACATGACCAAGGGAAGCCCAAAACCTTGAAAAATAGTAGACAATTGGAAATTACTTATTACAAAAATGGGAAGTTGCTTCTCAGCCACAAGTTCTATTTATTGTAGATAAAAAGTAGTGACTGAACCAATTGTTTTTCTTAACACAAGATGAAAATTTCAGTTTCATTTGTCCAATAGGAACATTCCTTAGAAGACAAAGGCACTGTTGGGCTGAAGATCATAAATAGTTTGAAGGCTTATTCTCCACTCCCCAAAAGTTTACCATCCACTAGAGGAGCTGAGGCATCTCCACGTGGCTAGAAAAGAACACTAGGTCAAGTGAGGCCCAATCTGGAGGGTCTGGCCAGCCAGCCAGAGAATGTTGGACAGATGGCTGTCATTTGGGGAGCTTTGGAGCAACAAAGGGTAAGAGGCCACTCTCTGCCCAGGCTGCACACACCACCACATTCTGTGTGTTCACCATGGAGAAAAAGAGATGTGGTAACCAGAGCCCTTCATGAGATAAGATAAAAGGTTTAAGTAAATTGTTCTGAACGTGATAAGATAAGCGGTTTAGACGACAAAGGGTAAAGCAGCTGCTGCCTGAGACGTACATATTTCTTCAGCAGAAAAGGGTTATGCAGTTCAAGGCAGCTTGTTTAATGAAAAGGAAAATATGTTAATTAGATGAAAAGTTGGGCATCTGGGTGTGTGTGTGTGTGTGTGTGTGTGTCCAGAATTATGAACAAAAAATCAAAGAAAAACCCCTATGCTGGCTGGCAGACCATTCATGCAGTGATGTGAAGGAGGTTTTTAGTTTACTTTGAACATTTTTGTATTTTTTTCTCTGATAGAACGAATAATACACAAATATATTTTCCTTGCAAAAATTATAAAAGTTACAGGTCAAAATAAAGTCCCCTTTGGCTACCACTCAATTGTACCCTGCCCAAATCCCAACACCTCCTCAAATGATCTTCTGAAATCTGAAGTGCAAGCTCATGTGGTATTTGAGCATGATGGAAAAAAAAAAAAAGCTTGCAGTAATAATAATACTAACTCCCTTTTATTAAGTAGATGTTATGCTAGACAGTTTACATATAAATTTTTAGCTCATTCAGCAAATGTTTTGTGAGCAACTAAGTGCCAAGGACTAGGAATATGACAAAGACCTCAAAGAATTTGCAATCACCTCCCAGCTTGACGTCCTTTCCACCATATACTGATAAAGAAAGCAAGATTCCATGAGATTAAGAAACTCACTCAAGGTTGCTGTAAGATAACTGATAAGGACTGGGGTTCAAATCCTGGTATGTATGTCTTCAAAAGCTGATCTTTCTTCCACGACTACCCAATTGTTTTCAAACAGTTAGTTTTAAAAGCAGAAGTCTTACAATGTTTTTAATGAAAAAAATGTATCAAATTATAGCTCAATGCAGAAAAGATAAAAGTGGAAACACTTTGGTTCACCAGTGACCTCCTGTAAAAATAAATTTGTCCCTGCCAAGAGGACTAGATGGAATTGCTTAAGGACTGATACCTGCAAGTTCCAAGTCTGTTGTTGAACAGCTTTAGGGGCAACTACTAAACATTCAAGTTGACTGAGATCATCAGGTGCTAGGGAATTCCAAACCTGAACATGCCTGGGAATGACAGGTTCCTGTCCCCCTCCCACTACTTGTGACCCTCCACTGCTAACCCTAAACTCACTGGGACTCTGAGATCTGGAGTTGTTAAAGGCTTCCCCTTGGTGACTGAAAAGTAATTCCAGTACAACTCTGTTCTGTTTAGTGATCCCTTTTTAACCATCCAATCTTATACCTCTCCTCCCAATCTGAAAATATTTGACCAGAGTTGTACAAAAGGGCCACTTTGTGGGATGCCCAGCATTTGTGGGTTACCTTCTTCAAATATTTCCCTTCCTTCTGCTTTGATTTTTCATATCTACGTACACTTTGTTCATGAGCCACATAATCTTTTCTAGAATGAAGCAAGTCTGGTTATCCCTAGCCCCAGTCTACTCTTTCCTCCTTGTTACTCTTTCATTTTTCACTTATTTTTGGTGAAATTTAAAACCCTCTTCCAGGTAATACCAAGTGTATTTGACTCAGTGCCTTGTCTTCTCTTCCTGATGGCCATGCCCTGGCACAGCCTCATGTCCCCCTCCCTCTGCCCAGGCAAGCCCCCCATCCCCAAGCAATCCTGCCTTCATGAACTGGACCCAAGATAGCACTGCTTACTGCAGCTATCATTTTTCACAATATCCCCAATGAGTGATCATCCAATGTCTGCTTATTTCTAGTCATGGAAAGCTCTCTTCTTCACGTAAGAGCCCGTCTATTGTAGGGGAGTAATAATTTTTTTTTTAAAGATTCCTCCAGATTTTTAGCTACAACTAGCTATCCTATACTTTCTGCCTGTTGGGTCTTCACTCCAGAATAGTGTTTCTCAGTGTCGTCTCCAGACCAGAAGCATCAGCATCACCTGGGAACTTGCTAGGAATGCAAATTCTCAGGCCCTGCCACAGACCCACTGAACAGAAACTGTGGGGATGAAGCTCAGCAATTTAGTATTTTAACAAGCCCTCAGGTGATTCTGATGTACTTAAGTTTGAGAACCCCTGCAACAGAAGGCAAGGCCCTTCCTGGACCAACTTTCCTGGACACATTTAGCCTGACCAGGAGTTAGCAGTCACACTGATGCTACAACCTGTTGGTCTGATTTCCAAAAGATACTTCACTTTTTCCAATATAGTTTATCTCTTGGTTTCAGGACATACCATTTGTTGCATCGTTTTGAGGGGGTGGAAATAAGTGAAGCTTTCAGTTTCTTTTATTTCTACTTATGTCTAAGTTTTCCTGGGAATAAAATGTTTATATAGGTAAAGTTTGACAACTATTGGTCAGGTATAGAAAGCAATCAATATATTTCTAGCATAAACAGAAGATTAGCTCTTGATAATTGCTGTGTCCTATAAACATTTAACTGACAGATGGTTTGGAAAACATATGAGAGATACGATGGTTGGGTGTGGTCAACATCAAGCTTCTTTAATCAAAAAGACTTCATGAGGGACACAAGAATTATACTGAACTTTGACAGATGGAAGAAATACAATTTTGCAGGTAGAAATAGGGATAAGAACAATATTGCAGGCAGAAGTTAAGATAATAAAGGCGGTCTGGTATATTGGGTCAGAACACTGGTTTTGGAATCAAAATCCCTGGAATTTTACTCTCACTCTGTTACTTACAAGCCATGTGACTGTTTTCACAACTGTAAGATGGGGGCAACAGTGGCACCTCTTTGTGGTGAGCAGAATTCCATGATGGCCTCAAGATTTCTTCCTTGTGGCATGCATGTCCTGCCCCGGAGTGTTGGGGGGGGCACCAGTGACGATGATGGGGTATCACTCCTGGGATAAAGTCATTAATCAGT